GTCTAGACTATTGTACAGTTGGTGTTACGTAATATAATGTATCTTTGAGTTATTAACGTACTATACAATCAGTAAGTTAACAACTCTATTGGTTTATACATTATGGAATACATGTGATTAAAGATTTCCATTAATTGTTCTCTAGTGACATTTAACATTTTATTTACATATTCGTTTTTGGCGAGGTGCTCAATTCTCAATTATGGACTTGTTTTGTGCCCCGTGAGTTTGACGTTGTCTCTTATGTTATGCATGGAGGAATACAATAGGCCTAGGATGTAACAACAATTGTTTATCGATATTGTACACGGTGGTGTCGGCATTTTATTGGATAATTCAGTTTACCATCAACAGCGACAAAAGTTAAGCTCCTATCTTTAGCCACGATGTAGTCCCCTAATTATTTAATGTTCAATTGTTTTTATTAAATATTTGTATCTAGGAATGTAATTAATTCAGTCCTTTTCATATAAATGTTTTAATGGAATTTTAATGTCTGATCATACACCTATATATTAATAGGTTCATGGTATGTATTGTATTTTTAATGGTTAATAAATTGTACAGAAACAGTGGCCTATTAAAATATTTGAACCTCTATCACGATTGAATGATATTTTGCGCTTACAAATAAAAAATAATATTGTTATTCTTGGAAGTCTTCTTTCACAGTCAGCCACTTTCAAGATTGTATCACAATACAGAAATTCCATTTCAATAAAAGTTCTAGGGCTCGCATGTTGCTTGTTGGGCACTGGAGGTTATTAGCCTAGTAGGCGGCGCATTCTATTCTTGGTACTAAATGCATCGCACGTGACTTCCAACAGTACGCCCACAAAGTGCCGACCATAGCAAAACATTCACACGGTTCCGATATAAAAACCAAGCGGCTGCCTGCAGCTGTACATTTTTCGCTATACAATACATATATCGACGTTCGCTTTTTATGACGGATACACCAAACATATGTATTTTTCTTATACATTTTTAAAAACCTCGAAAACAGTTGGTGAGTTTATAATATTATGCGGACTATGGGCTATTATCATCATACCTATTTACTGTATATCAAATCAAACCAAAATATATTAAATACAATATGTAGGCTACACCGTTGGACATACATATGTGGTACATAGGTATTGAAAAACATTACTACAAACGATTAGTATAACAAAAGATATCCATCGTCGTAACATTCCTAAAATATATAATTGGCTAAACATCCGAGACAAAAAAGTATTTAAATGGCATATTTTGAAGACGATTTAAGCAACGTTCAGACATTCGTTAAAAACATTCTTTTCAGAACTCTGCATGGTAAAGTATACCGTGGGCATTTAATATTTAAAAAAAAAAAAAAAAAAAAAAATCGGTAACATACTGTATAGGATAAATATAAATTGGGCTAAATAATAAAGCCATATAAATTAATGCGCTTAAAATAAATAAACATTATTAGAATACTATACTGTACTCTTACGATTGAAGGTTACAACAGACAATTACACATGACAAAAGAATCAGCGGTAGGCCTGTGTACGGTTTAACATCGCGAGAATAAACCAGCAATGTTCAATATTGAAACCTATATTGATAAATGGAATAGTCCAAAACGTTGACGCCTATCTAACGGTACTCGTCGGCGACGCGACCAGATTAAGAAATATTTTTAATCCCAACCACGCGTCCTCGTTGGGTATACGCGTTGCTTTATTTTGCGATGCTCCCTAAGTAATTTAGGCTTAATTTGATTTTAATGTCTTCATGAAAAGAATATAACAAAAAATATTATATTAATAGTACAGTATGCTTTATCTACATAGGAATCCTTAGACACAACATAACAAAAAATATATGTATTAATCGCCAGTGTTAACACACTGTGATTTGATTAGGCGCCCTCTATGGGCGGTCTCTCGATACTCCATCTTGGATTGATCGGACCGTTGTTTTGTTGGCTGTAATAAAGCTTTGTTGTACACTACTGCTAGTGTGTCCGATTGTAGTCTTTGTACTGTGGTTGTTTCTTTTCCCCACTGGCGAATAGGTATCAAAACTGACTTAAGAAAATAATATTTATCAACACTTTGATGTCCAATTAACATCACCACCTGCATTTAATATTGTATTATACTGATACTACTTATTTTTCTTTTTTTTTTTTTTTTTTGGAAAACAACCTTTGATTAAAAAGAAACAATTTTAA